TCCTAGCGCTGTACGACCCTAATCGAGAGACGCGCATTGAGGTTGACGCCTCGGGCTACGCTACTGGCGGTGTGCTGATGCAGAAGCAGGACGACGGCAAATGGCACCCTATCGCCTTCAGATCTCACGCTATGGACCCTGCCCAGCGCAACTATGAGATCTACGATAAGGAGATGCTCGCAATCATCGAGGCACTAGACGATTGGCGCCACTATCTCGAGGGGTTACCCAATCAGTTCGAGATCGTAACCAATCATAAGAATCTCGAGTACTGGCGCACGTCACAGCACCTCACTCGCCGACAGGCACGCTGGTCGCTGTTCCTGGCTCGCTTCGACTTCTGCATCACGCACAAGGCCGGGACGTCCAATGGAAAGGCTGATGCCCTGTCACGTCGATCAGACCATCAGATCGGCAATGAGGATGATAACACCGATCAGGTGGTTCTCAAGCCAGAGCGCTTCCGCATCGCCTCTGCCAGGCGTGGCCATGCCTCGGTAACGGCCGATCAGTCTCTTCTGAAGTGCATCAGGGAATGTTCGGAGAAGGATCGGGAGGTGGCCGAGGCACTTGAAAAGGTGCAGGACCTCGGGCCGCCCCGGCTGCAGAGGGGTTTTGAGGAGTGGAATGCCGAACAAGGACTTCTGCTGTTCCGCGGGTGCGTGTACATCCCAAAGAACGCGGAGCTCCGGTGGGATATTGTCAAGATCCACCACGACTCGCCAATCGCCGGTCATGGCGGTCGTGCCAAAACCCTGGAGCTCGTATCACGGAATTACTGGTGGCCTGGGATGTCCAAATTTGTCAATGAGTACGTAAGCACCTGCGACGTGTGCAACCGTACCAAAACATTCCCAGCCAAGCCCCAGGGTCCGCTGAAGCCGAACGAGATCCCCGAGCGCCCGTGGCAGATCATCACGACCGATATGATCGTCGGCTTGCCAAAGTCTGATGGATTCGACTCGATCCTGGTTACCGCCGACCGCTTTACCAAGCAGGTCCACTTCTCAGCCTGTCATGAGACCCTGACGGCAGAAGGTGCGGCAGACCTGTACATCTGCAATGTGTTCAAGCATCATGGGGCCTCGGCCAAGGTCATATCAGACCGAGGTCCCCAGTTTGCTTCGAAATATCTCCATGCGGTGTACAAGGGACTAGGGATCGAGCCGGCGCTGTCTACAGTGTTCCATCCTCAGACAGATGGCCAGACTGAGCGCTGGAATCAGGAGATCGAGCAGTACCTGCGTGCTTTCACAAGCCACAGGCAGGATGATTGGGCAAAACAGTTGCCGCTCGCAGAGTTCGCACTAAACAACCGAGTTCACTCCGCGACTGGGCACTCCCCATTCTTCCTGCATCAGGGGTACAATCCTGAGATCCAAGTGCGGATCAATCCGATGTCGGCAATGCCTGCAGCTGCTGATCAGCTCAAAATCCTGAAGGAGATTCGCGATGATACGCGCTCTGCGCTCGAGCTGTCAGCCGAGCGTATGAAGGTGTACTACGATAAGCACGTGCAAGAGGCACCGGTCTTTGCGCCGGGGGACAAGGTCTGGCTTGATGCCCGAAACCTTAAGCTGAAACAGCCGAGCAAGAAGCTCAGTCCCAAGCGCCTCGGGCCTTATACCATGCGGCAAAAACTCGGAGACCTGGATTACGAATTAGTCCTGCCAAAGTCGGTGCCGGTGCACCCGGTATTCCATGTCTCCTTGCTGAGCAAGTACATGCGTAGCAATATCCCGGGCCGGGAGCCGGAGGAGCCGCCTGCGATCGAGGTTGAGGGCGACGAGGAGTACGAAGTTGAGCGGATCAAAGATTCGAGGATCTTCCGGCGTCAGCTGCAGTACCTCATCAAGTGGAAGGGCTATGACGATTCGCATATGTCATGGGAACCGGCGCGCAACGTTGCCAATGCGCCGGCCCTCATAGCCGACTTCCACCGGAAGAATCCGAACGCCCCTTGTCGTCTCAACGCTGCCACATTTGGTGGTCTCAACTTTCAGCCAATGCCTTCGCCGCTGACGGAAGCACGATGCCGCTCCGGGTGGGAGATGGGCAAGGGCGCCTCGCATGAGGTCATGCGCCGTTGAGGGGGGGGTAATGTCACGAGTTGGCACGGCGTCTAGCCGTTTTTTAATTTTTTCCTTTTCGCGGGCTCGAACCCGCGACCTCTGTACTACCTGCCTGATATGGACACATCATATCTACTGTACGATTAGATTAGATAGGACGGCAGTGCGCGGCACAGCTCGGGCCCCGCTGACACAGCCTCTCTGACTCACCGGCCCCCGGGGCCGCGTCAGCATGCTGCGCACGGACCAGCTGTGCACGGACCAACGCGCACAGCCTGCCCTTATCTCCCCATGTATATAAGCCGGCCTCTGCTGCCCTAGGGACCTCAGTTTTGACCTCTTGTCCCTAGGTCAGTAAGCTCCTTTGTATCCTTTACTTACCTGTACTAACCAATACATTTCTTGTCCCTAGCCTTAGGTTTGAGCCTTGCTCACCATCGCTTCGGAAGACCCAGTCGAACGCCCCCAGCATCCTTCAAAGTCTGTGTTTCCACTGTCGCTCGACCCTAAGTCGCGACACTGGTCTTGATGCCAGACACTGTTATGTACCACATTACTCAGGCTCTCTACAAAGAGATCCATCATGCTGCCGTGAGTGGATAACACCATCTACAGACAAACCATCACTGTACTAGCACACAGTGTCATTACGGACATCGAATATGGCTGGCTCATCTTGATAGCACCGCACAAATGAGCGCGCGAGCGTCGAGCATCGAGGCGTGCCGGTGGTGGGAAGACAAGGCGACGCGGTTGCCCTGACGCAGCCATTGTGCGAGATATCAGTGTGCGGCCATCTGAGAACGCGCAAATGCCTCTCTTGCAATGCATCGCGTGCAGCATGTAAGTGGTAGCAGATCAGCTGCGGATGCCCCTCGCACGTCGCACTCGTTCGTACTGGACAGCGACGCAAACACCGGTGTTGCAGCGGATCGCGTGCGGACACTCCTCGCACATCACACTCGTTTGCACTGAACGGCGTGGCCGGCCATCCATCTCGCGTTGGAATTCATCACGTCGTCATGGCGCGTGACTGCATCTCGCGAGCATGCGAGGGATTATCCTCCGCCCTCCTGCCCTTTAGAACACGCTGCGTTCTGCACGTTGCGGCGCTCTGGGCCAGCTCTGGGACCGCCGCACGACATGTCTGCGGCTGGCTGACAACACGGGCCCACTCTGCGACCTAGCCGGAGTGACAGCCACGGACGGCCTCGAGTCAAGACTTCCATCGTAGTGTTGATTTCTCGGACGGAGCGACAGACAGTGTGGACGCGGGGAACGGGCGTACGCCGTGGAGCCCTGCACTGTTGGCGGCGTCAATGCTGCCGTGTGAAATACGTACACGCAATCCGGTGCCGCGCGCCGTCTATGTAATGCCTGTTCACGTCTATCTGATCCCCGGATGAGTGTGCGCATGCGCCATAACATCCTCCTTGCGGCTGCGCCCGCGCGGGCTGCTTTTACACTGAGACGGCCATTCCGCACGCATCCCTTGCCGTTCGTTCTCTCGTCTTCTCCCACATGTGTCCCGTCTCGGCTCTGGCCGCCCACGTCCGCCTCGCGTTTCCGTTCCTGTTCCTGTCTGGTCCCTCCCGCATCAATTCATTCCGCTTCCTAGCTGTAGGAGCCGGCCGCCCGTCGTTCGCAGGCTAGCCGCACCGGCACACGCTCAGACGGAAACACCGTACGACAATGGAAGTCAGCGTGCGCGACGCGTCTCAGCTCTGATAACAAGGCATGATTCAGCTCCTCGGCTACTCCGAGTACGGGTTTGTGTTGAAGGATGTGCCAGTCGAAGGCCTCATGCGGCTCGACCTCGCATCGGTGGTACAGGACGTCACACACAGGGCAATACAAGTAAGTAATCGCACTCAAAAGATGGCTGTCGATCTGAACTTCCGTATAGCAACGTGGTTATTGTCGCGCGGATGCAGTCACCATTCCCGCCCGCCGAGAAGAGCTTCGCTGGGGTTGGTAACCGCCTCTGCGACGGTCCCTTGCAACACTGGAACAGGCGCGGAGGCGGTCATTGCTCCCGCCGAGGAGAGCCTCGACGGGGTTGGTGACCACCTTTGCGACATGTTCCTTACGCATCAGTTCAGGTATGACCTTGCCATTAGAGACCTATCCTCTGCTATCTGCGCCCGAAGCCATCAGGCTGCTGGAGAGCTGACAACACCAGGTCCATTTCACTCGGCCACCTCTTTGGGTAATGCTCCGAGGAGCGTGTTTCGCAATTTCTTCCCCTTTTGGATTTGTCTGATGTCAGATTGTGTTCAAAAAATCGTAGATACATTTCCACTATGATGAGCTTGCTGTTACTCTATCCTCAGTATATCATCTTGTCACTGTATGGGCGTCATGTATTGAGTGTAAATACGGCAGCAGCGTCGCCACCAGTCAGCTAGTAAGCCACACCTGAAGCTTGTGTCCAATACTCTCCGCGTCACTCCTCATCAGTATGGTCGATGCACACTCAACCAAGCAGCATAATCAACAAGCATAGACCTCCTTTGCAAACGTTACATATAAGCGGCGTGTAGCATACCGGCGCCCGGTAACGTGTCCTCATCTATCGGAGGTTGCTCGCGGTAGTCATGCGCAGTGATTCGCGCTACTGTAATATCACAATAATGATCCTTTTGTCGAGGTCTATCTCATCGCTCTCTGCGTCTGTAAGCAATGATAGACAGCGACGAGCGCTGCACACCATGGCGCGATGCCAGTGGCCTCCTCAACGTAGCCATTAGCCATGGAGCCAAAATGTCGCTACCACGTACTGTCTCGACACTCGACGTCATTGACATGACGACTCAAGTAAGATCTCAGTGCCTCTCACTACTTTTGGAACCACATACGAACTGATTGTGAAAAATGCGTTGCCCAGATCACGGTCGACACCTGCTCTCCAAGGCCTCTTGATCGCCGTGCCTTCGATTACCTATGAGAGGACATTATCTTCCTGGAAACCCTGGTCTCAGCTATTTGAGAGGGATTACGGTATGTCACATTTGTTCATGACTGGCTGGACAGCGCTTAGAGAGGTGAAGACGTGATCAGGTCACGGCTACAGTCACCGCGACCCCCATCTGGGCGCTTCAGAACGGCGGCGATGTTGAATTCCCTAATATTTACGTGCGTACATTCAGTCGTTAGCTCCATAGTGATATCTTCCTGACACTGACTACAGAATACGTCCTCGACACAGGGTGCAACTGCCGCTGCGAATCTCGAGCAGATGAACAGTTCATACAAGTTCATACGTCTCCTGTGACATGGTACGTTCGTACGCCACCTGCGCATCCCAGGCTCGCGGAACCGGATTTTTGATGCTTGTATTCTTAGCGCTGCGATAAATCCAGGACAAATATGCGCGAATTTGCATACCGCCGTTCTTGTGGCATCGGAGCAGGACAAACGAGAAGCTCGCCGGCTGATTGATCATGCTCGCAAAAGGAGAGACGCGTGTGCTCCAGCCACAGGTGGCTCTTTCAGCGCGCGCCCCTGATCAAATCGGTGGCTTTGGCCCGCGACCCTTTTGTTCGCTTTGTCGCAAAATGGGAACAAGGTGACGTTGTTTCGGTGGACCGTCGTGGCCGGTGCTTCCTCACATATAAAAGGCGACTGCATCAGACGACTGAAATCATCGACCACCTTCCTCCTGCCCCAGTAGCTGTTCACCGCTCCTCTCTCCAACTCGAGATTCTACGCATCGACAGCATGTGCTGTTTTCGAGACGTTCCCTCGCACCTCCCCTTCCTGATTCAATCGTCAACTGTTGAGTATGCATGCACGTTGTTACACCGACTTGCTACCTCCTCACCATCGTGCACTATCTAGTTCTCCGGGTATCCCGACAGCTGCAAGGTTGTCGAGACAATCAAGTTTGCCGGCGAGATCGTGTCAAGGGCGGACTTGGCCCTCAAGGTAAGGAAGTCAGTCGACAAGGCTGTCAGAGTGAGTGTTTGCATGCCTTCGGAATGACCACCATTCTGACCTATTCTGCAGCTATGTCGTGGGGTCTACCCGGTGATGGTCACAAACCCGGCCACGGAGCCACTCACCAACTCCAGGCCGATGGACGACGCTGAACCGTTCAACGGTTCCATACCGTTCACCGGCCTTGACGCCCTAGTCGCAGGTGATCTGTATCTGGTGAGGTTGGACCAGGTGGGCCCAAACCGTCGGCAGTCGGCTGTCGAGTAAGTGATTCTACACTCTGCGAACAATTCTATCCTGAATGATTATGCAGAAATGCGCTATCGCCTTTGCTATCATGGCCTCGGTGAATAATTGCACGCAAGGCATTGTGTTCCAGCAGAACACAGACAGCATAATGAGGCAACCTCGGTTCAACCTCAAGCCCCCATCGTCTTTGCGTGCGGCAAGAATAAGACCCCTGTCCAGCTTTTCGGAACGAGAACGCATGAAGTCGGCAACCTGATTCGTGCGACAGAACCGCTCCGCCGCAACAGGGATGGTCCCAGTATACGCAGCCGTTAGCCATGGAGCCAGACAAAAATCTCCCATCGTCGTCTCCACACCACTGCAAACACCTGCCGCGAGCTTCTGCCTCACTTGCTTTGATGCGTAATTTGGAATGGGACGCCCATCGTTATTTGTTTGGCTGTAAAGGAGCTCATGGCGGCTGTGAGTCAGTAAGAGAGAACCCGGAGCCGCGAGCACGCGTAGACACTTTAGTGCTCTCAAGCAAATATAAAGCATATGTGAACAGCTTGTATGCACACATCGCACAAACAGAAGGTACTGGAGGGCTTGAAGATCATGACTGTCCGCTTTGAGCGGTCTGGCGTGAGGGCTGAATCTCGAATCGACGTACCGGCGTGGACGCCCACTCAACTCGGCTTAAGGCGTCTCTTTGATCCTTTTGCCTAATGGCAGATTTGAGGCAGACCACCGAGCAGAACTGGTAGCTGAGTGATCGGCGGCTGCCTCATTCGGACAACCACGTGATCACGACACGAGCCGAACACAAGCCGTGTGAACTTTGAAGTCTATAATGTCCTCTTCGAGTTACAGCAAATGGCCAAACAAGGTCATTTTATTGATCCACTGTCGCTGTTCACACGTCTGCCCGTTCTCCCATCCGCATCCCGAATGGACTGTGGTCCTAGCCTCTTCTCATGCCAACATAAGGAGTCCGGAAATCTGACGACGCCGGTGGATGCCTTATCTCAAGAAGACAATTGGAGGCTTGTTACAAGACCTTACAAACAGGTGAGCTCGTCGTAGTCTTCGGCTGTCATCTCTAGTGAGTCGTATCAGCCCCCTCCGACACATCAACGTCCTCCAGCAGGGCATCCATCTCGTCATCGTATAGAAATTGACGCAAAATGCCCAGGATCTCCTCGTTCAAGCCCGGAGGTCCCACCCGACCGCCGCTCGCCACCCTTCCATTACCAGGATTCTCTCTCGCTTCAGCCTGCCTAGCGCAGCGCTTCAAGTAGTCCTCGCATGCGTTCTGACCTTTGCGATGGCGTTTCAGTGCATCTGTCCGAGGGAAGCGCATTCCGCATGAATCGCAGACGTGCTTCCTGACCTTGAAGCATTGCAGCAGGTGACGGCGGAAATCTCTCCGGGTGTCGAACGACCATTCGCAGGTCCGAAGAGGGCACGCATATGCTTTCTTGTTTTTGGGTGGCTCCCTTTTCATTTTGCGCCTGTCTTCGTCGGCATCGGAGTTGACATCATGATCGGTGTCTCCGTCATCGTCATCGCCCTTGCTGTAGCCCAACCTTTGCTTCATAGCTATACGGCGGGGCTGCGCCCGTATGCTTTCTTTGTGGACTGAGGGTCCAGGCTCATCGACATTGGTGCTGGCAATAGCGCATTCCTTGCGCTTTTCTGCTGCGGTGAATTGTGGAGGGGAAGGCAGCCGGGCCTGAGTAATTCGATGCGATGAGCTCTGCGGGCTTCGTTCCAAGACGTTGCTCATTTTGGCGGTGTGCAACGTTGACGGCTCGCACTCGTCGCTTGGTGTATACGGTCTCGCACGGGCAGCTCCAGTCACTGTCGCCGATTGGATCCTCCGGTGAACTGATTCATCGATCGAGTCTTCGTCACCTCGATTGACATTGCTGTATAGCTCAGCATTCTCGGCAGAGGCATCATGGTGTCCTGCTTCAAGGTCGCCCTTGCCCTGTGTGTGCAGGGAAGGGGATCCGGCGCAGAACACGCTAGACATCTTCGAGGTCAGACCAGATGATGTGGCGAAGGCGTTGCTTGTTGGCGAGGTGCGGATTTGGGTGGAGCGAGCGATAAGCGAGGGGATACTGGCGGCGGGGTTTGCGCTGGACTGTGGAACACGGGGTAGCCACCTGGAGCCATTCCAGTATGGCAGAGATGGGTCCATGCGCGTTTTTACGGGGGTGATTGGCAGGGCTTGCTCTGTTGTTGAGCGCGATGGCTGCGTTGAAAAGCGAGTCAGTCACGGTGCTAAGAGAGGTGATCGGCAATACATACTCGATCTCCGTCTGATGGACGTGCCTGAAGATCCCTACCAAACAGTCCCTCGTACTCCAAGTACCTGGAAATTAAGGATTGACCGTGGCCTGTGGCGCCGTACGACCACTCGTGGTGCGACTGGATACCAGTGTGTGGCGCCACTGACAAGTGTTTGCAAGTGCATAGCCCAATGAAATGGCGGAGCTGATGTTCCACGAAATGGTAGTCCTCAACGATGGTGTCTGTCTGGTTGGACCATACTACGAGCACCTGATCTTCGCGCTGAGCTGCAGCATCAGCGCGCTGGATACACTGAAATCGTGGGAACTACCTACCACGAGTGCACCATCGTACATAATGGCCTCTTCTAAGAACTCGAATGAGGTCACAATGGGGATATCAACATCGCCCATATCAATTCTTGTAGCCAAAGGGCTGGGTGGATGGTGAGGTCTAGGAGATGTTTTCCGCCAAAATGCTTACTAGTAATGCAATATATCGACTATGGCCTGGGTCCTGGCCTTGACAGCGACCTTGTAAGCCATATTGGGGACCGCGTCTGTGAAGGGCAGACCGGAGTTGTGGGATGTGAGGACGCGCTGGTTGGTGCGTAGGACCACAGCTGCATGGTGTTGATCGGAAGAGATGTCCACGAGACACTCCTCGAGGATCTGTAGTGTGATAGACTGGGGTAAATCCATGGCGGCCGGTCAATGGTGAAGCAAGGGGACGGGATGCAACGCAATCGAGGTCAAAGCACGGTTGTGGCTGAAATGTGGCTTTGCTTCGTCGACTTTAAAGATCCTCTCCGCTTTCGAAGTCCGCATGCTAATGGATTGTTGTCAGGGATTGGACTAAGAACCTAGCTCGGTAAGGTAAGCTTCCACTGCTTTGCATTTTTCCCTATCGAGTAGCAGTATGCAGACAAGTATTTCGATTCTTGAACAAAGGACGCTCATACGTATTCGTATTCGGACTTGTACAACCACATATAACTAATTTCCTTTTGCGCTTTGACAGTTGCTCCACTCGTGGCCTTCCCCGACGCTTTGTCACAATAGCGTGTCAACATGCGGCCACATCATTTCAGGAACGCAGATGGCAAAGGTCATCCCCCGCCACCCGGCGTATAAAGACCTGACCAACGCGTTACAGCACCATCCAGCAGTTTAGTCCTGAAGTGCTCCCTCACCCCTCAACATCAATTTGCTGTAATCACATCCTCACTCGATGCTCATCCCCTCATCCCAGCCGCCCAGCGCCACTACGCGCCTTCCCTTCTTGATTCAATCGTCACTCCACCTTAAAACCACAGTCACGTCTGTGACCGGCCAAAGCTGTCGGCGTTTTGTGTCGGCTTGGTGGCTATCGACATCGATTGACCTGAGAGCACAACATCTTTCAACCTACTTGTACGCCCGAATCCTCCTGGGACGATATTGTCATGCTTACTCCTCTGTACCAATCTATTTTCCGCATAATCCCACCGATTCCACATCCGCCCTTCAGCTTGGTAAAGACGGAAGCATGGCGAGCGTTGTCAGGCGACTGACCTACGCAGATGAAGACGCCTTCAAGGTTTATGAGAGTTCCAGCACTGTGCGCTTCTATCCTCGGCAGCCGGCAGAGTGCTCAGGTGTGAGGTTGGCCGACGCTCGTTTGACAACAGCGGAGAAATACCTTCACAAGGGCCTGGTGGCGGTCGATATCGGCTGGCCCGGGAGTGCGATCGTATCAGACGTACATGTACGCCCCGGTCCTCCTCGGACGATTTTGTCCATGCTTACTCTGTATCAGTCTAATTCCGTGAGTGTCTCAAAGGCACGCAGGCGAGGAAGACAATTCAGTCCGAGATCGCGACGGTTGTAAAATAACGCGCGCACAATTGCTGGATAGCACCCGGAAGGCCGTGGAGGAGGCGGTGACGGTACGTGCAGTATCCTCGATGCTATAGCTCTGTTCTGACTACCAGTGCAGAGAGCGCGTAGAGCGCACGTAGACGTGATTACGGCCCCGTCTACGGATCCTTCGTCGGTCCGAATCCTCTACCGCTCGAAATCATGTATCTGGTTTCATTGGAGAAGGTAGATGAGCATCGCTAAAATAGATGCTAGGATGAGGAAGACAGACACAGTCCGACATGTCGAGGGCCATATCATGACATGGGCACAACGCCAGACAGAGTATAGAAGATTGTAGAGGAGGTGATGACAGTATGTGCTAAGTCTTCGATGAGAGGTTCTTTCCTTCTGACCCCTGATGCAGCCAGCAGGGAGCACGTGGACACAAACACAGTCACGGCGCTCGTAAAAAATCTCTCTGCTGTTCTGACATGTGCGTCAGTAACTTCCGTGCCTGATCAGTCTCCTGGCTGCTTATGATGAAACCATAGATTCAGGATTGGCATACGAAAATCACCTAACTTTGCCCGCGAACTTCCGTCTTTGACAAGCTGGATGGTTCTCATCTTGCAAGAAGTTTAATTATGCGGAAAAATAAGGTGAATAAACTATGAGGTGGTACGGAAGGGAGTAGACGAGAGGGCAGACCGGGGAAAACAGAAGAAAATGCGTTCAAAGGCGGTTGTCACGTGCCACACGTCATGTTCGAGTTTGGCACTCGTCGCTGGACGCAACTTTCTGGCAAAAAAACCTCGTACTCTCGATCCTCTACGTAGTCTCCAACTCGTCCAATATCCCTCAGAAGTCAACACGTAATCATTGGGGCCTGCATGATCCATGTGTTGAAACACGCTGACCCGCGCGGTCAGGAACGAGCTCGCAAGCTCGGGCGCGCGAGTAGCCGGGGGCCGGAGGCCCCTATCGTAGTATATAACGACCCCGCGCGATGTACGTACCGCACGCGATTGTCCCTTACGGGCATCGCTACGCCCGTGGACAAACGCGCCCCACGCCGTCGCACCAGTTGTTACAACACCATGGAAATGTGTTTCCGCTGTTGTACAATAAGAGTGAGACCAATGGCGGCCGTGGCGCGCTCGGGCCCATCTACAGTGTTTGGCAATCATCAAACCCTATGTCTGAGGGGAAACCCATCTGTCAGCTGTCGACGGTTCATCGAGGCGACGACACGAAGCTTAAGGCGAGCGCCTGCTCCGTCACCGGGACCGTCGCGGCACGTATGTTAGCCACTTTTAGTCATTGATGGGTCTTTCACAGTGCGCCGCCTGATCGCTCGCTTTGACCCGATTGCCTTTTGTTCTCCTTGGGGAAATGTGGAGACAAAGCGACGCCTCCTGCGGTGGACCGTCGTGGCCAGAGCTTGCTGAGGGATAAAAGGCTGTCGCGTTGGACGAGCAGAATCATCCGCCTCCCCCTCCTCCTGGCTCGATATCACTTTCCCAATCTTCTTTACAGCCCGTAACTCTACGTAACGATACCATGGGACTTTTTCGACCTCGAGGCGCTCGCTCGTTCCCCCTTCCTGAATCAATCGTCAACAGCTGCATGCTTGAGCAGCAAATACTCAATTCAGGTCTCGTGAAGAGACCATAGTCTTCGCTCTGGCAGCTGATTCCAAGGGAAGAGGGATCAGACTGACAGCCTTGCAGCGGGGGTTAGTTGGGGGCGTTGTAAGACACGCCACGGAGCCTGTGGTCCTCAATTGGGAGGGCGACTTCATCTGCGTCACGGTCCAGTTCGGTGGGTATGGCTCCCATATGGGGGTGAGTGATATCGTTAGTGTACATGGGCTGACAAGGGAGCTCTTAGGTCCGCGGGTGCACGCGACGAGAACAGCCCCCTGCAGGTTATCCAAGGTCGCTGTCAAGATACGGCAACCAGCCCCTCGCGCTTGACGATTGGTGCTGTATGTTCATGACAGCGTTCAATATCTTCTTATCACCATCAGTGCCACTCGTGTCACATCGGCGCGTCTCCCGTCCTTGATTCTTTATTTCCGCTGGAACGAACAGCTGCAAGCCCTCAGCAGTCCACATCTCATGCTGGCCACACTCGACCTGCAGCCCATAGCGCAATTGACACGTGCATGCTTGCGCGATGTTGTGGACGATGTGCCTCGTCCTTATATCAACCCGATCATTGTCGCACATCCGGTGTCGCACCGATGGTCAGACTTAACGTAGTCGGCTTTGGCACCCTCGAATCAACCCTACTGAGTTCGCTATCAACAACCAGTACCTGCTTGCCTACAAGACTCCAGGGCCACTATCCAAGTGCAATCCATGCGAACGACGCCACACAGGACACTCCATGATCGCAAACAGAGATGTCTCATAGCTCGTCCCTCATCGACTTGCTCCAAGATGCTACCACTACTTAAATAACAAAATCCCCCCTGTATTCACATTAGCCACTCGCCTGCGCCCAGTATCGCTGTCACATAGTGTACTACCCGTGCTCGCAATACAACATCTGCAGCACGACTATCAGTTTGTCGTGATCCTCGCTGCAAGTGCGTGGCGCAAACAGCAGTTATTGTCTTCCTGCAGTAGAGATATGAGGATATTGATTCTTGAGAGAAAGGGATGTGTCTACTCCCAGGATGTTTCGTAATGTCGTCTGGTGGGCGATCAGGCGTCTAGTGTGTCTTTCCTTTCGATGTCCGCTGTTGTTTTGCGTTTCAAGATAGCCCGGCGCGTATAATCGGTGAATTGCGGTCGTCTCATACGGACGTGTGACGAAAGTAGTGGGCTCTCGTGAGCCTTATGCTGTAGCATACCACAGCGCACAGTACTATCGCGATATGTCAGAAGATATGACCCTGTGCTGTGATGAAAGACTGTTAAGGTGCAACATAGAGAGATCATGTTCACTGTATGATTTCTCTACTGATGGGGGCAGCGCTGGATCTTTTCAGTGATTGCTTTGCTTCGATTGACGACTCGAAGATGCGGGATGAACGAACGCATTCGGTATGTCAAGCTCTAATCAGAATTGCGCAAGATTGTGAAGACGTTCGTGCGCGAAGTATCTGATTTCACTCACTATCATCCGTCGCGCTGTTCCATGGCTAATTGTCTCGAAGAGACTGTCCCGTGCAATTTTTCTCTGAACGTGGTCGTCATTGCACCATTGGCATAACGAGAGCACGACGGATCTATTTGTAGTGACGGGGCGGCGGCGAGACATCTGGCTATGAAAGCCGGAAATCGACTACTCCTCGGACGCACGTAATGGACAACTTGAACGTAAAACTACCCGTTTCTGACAATGCTGATAACAGTTTTGTGCTGGCCCCTACAAGGTCGAGCGCAATAAGGGCCGACTGTCGCACAAGTGAGCGTTGAGGAAATAACGCAGCAGGATCGTCGTGGACGTCGACAGCCGAGAATGAACTCTGCGTTGCCACCAGAGCCATTCAGCCAATCGGAGCGGGGAGACGGGCGCTCCGAGAGAGACGGACTGCCGTGTTCAGCTTCTTGAGCGTTCGTGTTCGCTTCCTTCTCGTCGTGGACGTCCTCATGCGACGTCTCCCTATGTTTGACCTCTGGACTTTTGTACAAGCCGTGGCGAGCAGAAACTGTTTTATTTCACCGTCCAACCTGGGTTCATGTCCATCTCCTAGGGTCAGCCCCACCTCATCCAGGACATGTAGCTCAATCTTCCGTGGTCCGTTCTGCAAATTTGCTTCTCTTTGTAGAACTGTTCTCTGCTATCTGCGTTCGCGTCTTGCTCCTCTCAGCGGCACTATGCAGAGGCTCGTGGCGCCCATTCTCGTTCTCCACACGGTGTCCCGTCGCGTCCTCACGCACGAAGCGCTCCCCATGATGGTCACAAGAGTGTTTTGACCCGAAGGCAGCGGTACGAACCTTGGTGAAGCTCATGTGGTCAGTGAGATGAAAGCTTTCTTTGAAAAGCAGACAAGACCACGCTAATTGCCCTGAATTGACATGGTGGATATATTCATTTCAGGTATTGAAGTCAAACACACCAATCACACTATGGCGCGACATCAGCAGGAGGTAAAAAGTAAGTCATAAAATAGTCAACCCAAACTATGCGGAAGTCTTGTTGATCATGATCTGTGAAGTGATACACAATTCGGAAAAGTACCAACGCGACACATTAAGAGATCAAGAGACAATAACCCCATACCTTAATCCGCTCGCTCGTCTTCGACATCGTCTCTCTCATTGAGCGCATCGACATACTCAAGTAAGGTCTCCATCTCGTCCTCATGCAGAAACTGAGCAGAAGGTCGAGGACCTCCTCGCTGAAGGTCAAGCTCTCCGTGCTTGCTGATCGTAAAGTACTACAGCAGGTGACGGCGGAAATCGCACCGGGTATCAAAGGATGATTCGCAATGCGGAAGAGGGCAAGCAAAATACTTCTCTTTCAGTGGGGCCCTTTTATTCTCAGGCTTGCTGGCGTCGGCACGGGTGATGGCCCGGGATGAGTATTGGCGCACCCATCAATTTTACTGCAGATACCACTATGTAACCTCTTTCTCTTGGCTGCGCGACTGGACTGCACTAATCTGCTCCCAGATCAAGCTGAAGGCCCAAGCTCGTCGGTGTCAATGTTGACGCTTGCAACAGCACGTACCTTGCGCTTCTCCTCTGCAATGCAATGGAGGAGAAGGCTGCCGAGTCAGTGTAGCTGTGATCTGCGAGTGTCGTTCGAACAACTTCCCCGCGCGCGGCTTCGAAACCGAAGAATGCTCCCGCTCGTGGCTACCTGACTGTAGTCCCCGCCTGTGAGAGTCGCGGCACCGACATTTTTGGACAGGCGGGCCTGCTTTGTCACGTTGAAACGGCCCTGGTATGCTGAATACCCGGAGATCTCTCCACGTCACATGGACGAGCTTTGGCTATGGCCAGGAATGATGCTATCGAGCGAATGCGTATTCTCGGGCTGAACACCAAGTAGCAACAGCGAAGATGATAAGATGTACAATGTAATGCGTGGTGAGTCAAAAGGAACGATTTTTGGCGTGCCGGAATCACAGTGCTGAGACATGTTACTGTGCCAGCGTGACTTACGTACATGTGGCGATATCGATCGACGGTGCATGCTGGAGCGGAATTGAACGCATTGAAGAGCGGGCTGGAGTCGAAGGTGAGCATGCTCTCCGCAAAGGTTGAGGTAGGAAGTGCTTCGATAGCAACGCTGCTCTCGTTCGTATTCCCGAACCCCAGCTACTCCCATTGCAGCACGTCGAACGGCGGGAAGTTCATCTTCAATGCGTTCATCTCGAACGGCAAGCCGAGCGGACGGGAGGTATGCGGGAAGGCGGGCGCCTTATCCATGATCTGCTGGTGAGTGGGCTGGCTGACGAGAGCCTTGTTTGCCGTGAGGCGCAAGTCGGATGAGGGGAGAAGATTCTGAAGGAGTTCATTATTCGCTGCATCTCGGCTTCTAGATGGTAGCTCACCTACGCGGTGTCACCATTTGCGGCAGCCTGAGAGGAAAACGTCGCCTCATGAACCTCTCGCTGGCTTCGTGATAATACCACCTGGAGAGAGGCAATATGCGGTTAATCCATCAAGTCGACTGTTCCTGATTAGTTGGCTCACATTAGCGTCTTAAGCAGGCTGTCCATCTGGATCGAGGTCCTTAATTTATTTCAAAGACATAGATTCGCTCATTCCTTCGCTGCGAGCATCCCGGAAGGCCCGTTTGCTCTGCCATTGCCTGAACAGCTTCCTGAGCTAGACGTTGCTTGATACTTCCTCGATTAGCTGCGTCTGCGTCTTTCTGACATTACTGGATTCGATGATCGCCTTGGCGTTAGTAGTGTGTGGCTTTTCTGTGGCCCTAAGGCTCGGCATCGATGCATAAACTGTTTGACGAGTATTTCCAAGACCTGGAGTGGAGCATTGAGTAAGTGTGCATTACGGCTCAGCTGTCGAGACGAACCGTCGACCCCCACTGGGAACTTATACTTGAAAGTGTAAGCGATATCTATGCGTCTCTCACGCTCTTCCTCCGGGCGCGCGGGGCCTACTGTCATTGTGCTGATGAGATTGCGGTATATCTCAGGCGGCTTTCTCATCGGCATTTTCCCTAGAGATCTTCTGAGCTCGTCCAGAAGCAGTCGCACGGGTTCATCTTGGAATGTGGAGGAAAGATCCAGGCTTATTTTCGCCATGGCGTGGTCTGCGTGACCCTCCTGCGCAAAATGAGCAATGCAAACTGGATCGTCGCTTCGATTGACGCACTTTCAAATGTTTATTGTCTCGCAAGAGCCGCACGATAGTGACCGCTGCAGCCGCCGCCTCGAATTTGATCTTTGCCATCCATGTCGGCACAACATACTCCAAGAACCACACACCGCCATTGAAGTTCTGCGCGGGCGGTATGCAGTCGTAGGTTGTCTCGACGTCCACGTCGGGCGCACTGGCCATGCTGGCGTCGAATTTCTTCGCCTCTGTCTGCAGCTGCTCCATGCCCGTATACTTGGCCGGCCAAATCCCTTCCGAGCGTCCTGGAGCGTTCTTTGTTGCGAGGAGCTACGTTTGCTTGGGATGAGAAATGTAGGTCAAGACTAAAAGAGGAGTGCTCACAGAATGGGCGAAGCCCGAACAGGCCACAGATGCACACGTCACTGAGCTCGAGGTTTCTCGGCTGAGGACGGTCTGCCGTGGACACAAGTAGTCAACGATTGAATCAGAATGAGGACGAAAAGAGGTGTCTAGGAGGGTGTGCATCGCGTCGGTGCATAGAACTCAGAGCTGGAGAGAGTAAGGGTGAACCACTATCTAGAACAGAGGGGGCTGATGAGTTTGCTCCTCCACGCAGCCGTCTTTTATATCTGCGGGACTGGGCCGCTCACCACAACGGCATCGCATAACCTACCCGGGGTGACAATTGCGGACAAAAGGCACGCAGGTCCAAGCGATCGATATGACCAAGCGACATGCTAGGGCCGTAACAAAAAAGGCCCTCACAAAAAGCGATCACTGGCTAAAGTACATCCCGCGTCTCTGTTCTAACTTCTCGCGAGTCTCAACAATGAGAGCTTGTCGTGGCCGGTCAGCGAAGTGCCTGGGGAATTATGCTTCGATTTCTTCCATGGCGCGCTAGTACCACGAAGACAAGTTCGGCAAACGAATGGGCTGTTTGGCTGGACCCTATTGGATCCCGACAAGCGATGCCGTGACCGCAAGCATCACAGCTTCGCTGCCAGGAGCCGAGGATGCGTACGGCGTGCCTGGAAGCCGAAGTATGGGGCTAAGCCAACGTTTTCTGTGATGCTTACATCACGAATCGCGAGGCGAAGTCTACATTCTCAATATAGAATGCTACTACAACAGAGGTCCCCAAAGAGATTAAGAGCCCGCGTTGTCGAATTATGCAATCTCGCCTCCGCCTCTTCATTATGTCCCTCAGTTCCTTTCGAATCCTGTACATTTGCAGCGCCCACCTACGCGGACGTCAGCGACGAAATATCTGATGCGACCGTCAGTGGCTGGTTCTCCAATGCCTACATTAATGGGCTGTGAAGCAGTGCTCTTTCGTGTCCTTGCAGCTGAGTAGGCTTAGCTCATATCGACCTTTCTATCTGCGTGACAGTGCACCCGCTTGCTTATAGGATGTGTCAATTTCTCGCGAGAAGCTCACTCTTCCTCTTGTGGATTCACAATTCCGGAGGGTGCTGTGCATCGCCTTTATCTGCTCAGATCTGGAGCGCGGGTGTCTGTGCTAACTGGACATGTTCAGATATTAATTGTTGCAGGTGACATAATAATTCGCAGCGAGCAATCTCCAAAATAATTGGTACAGGCGACCATATCGAGAAATCAGGTGCGTGTGCCACATGCATTATGCGCAACATGAACAGGAATACGCCCACTCCTGCATTCGCACCCGACGCGGCTAAGACTGTTGTCGTGCCTCTTCAAGTCGGGCCCCCGTATAAAGTCACGAGCAGCAGAAACGCCCACGCGGTACAAGAGTGACCCTTCGCTTGTCTTTTCCGACTCTGCCTTTTCCACTCCCGTGGCGCGCATGCCTCGTTGCGTGGCCCATCAAGCACGGGGCTGTGAACAGCCATTGTATAGAAAGCGGGCGAGCGGCTCCTGCATGCTCATCCATCCCTCGAGTTCAGTCCTGCTACCTTTCCTCGGCAGTCTTCCTCGGCAGTCTTCAACGCTCTCTGCTTCACCATGGGCATGCCCCTCCGCTCATGTATCAAGGCTGCCGAGCCCATCGAACCTCCTACAGCCACGCCCTCATGTACGTCTCCGCCCTGGCTGGCGGGCATATCGTCCGACTGCCGCTGGGCCGGGGGGCCGACGTGCACCCCCACGCTCGAGACCCACGCCCTCATCCACCGCGGAGAGGGACAGCGCTTCATCGCGGTCCTACCACCGGCCACCGAGGGCCTGCTGCCGGCCACCGAGGACGTGGCGAGGTCATACAAGCCCGCGGGCCTGCGGTGCTTCATGTGGGTGGCGCTGGGATTGTTTGATCAGATGTTGTGCATGAGCGGCATCGCGGAGCGACACCGCTGCCTTCAAGTTGAGCCGTGCAGCGTCATGGCGGGCGAGTTCGCCCCGGGGACTCTACCCGCGATATCTGTGGCTGTCAAGGAAGAGGATGCCAATCGTGCGATCGACGGGGACCTCTCGGACACGGGCATGTCGAATTCGGATGGGGACCGTCCGCCGTTGATGATCCCTCCGCCACAGGTGCGTAGGGGTCTTTCGCCGGCAAACCATGCCGCAATACTGATTGACCTCTGTATAGTGTATAAGGTAACCTCCAGGCCTCTGGATTCGACCGAAGAGCAAGCCCTTGATGGACGCCTCGCCGCTGGCGGCTGGTGCAACGCGCTCACTTCCGTACGGTATAACTTATGACCGTCATATATTGACTCATGATCCCAGGCACCTCTACGCCCGCCCAAGGTTTTATTTATTGCACTCTGCGCTTGATTAGGGTGTTCTTGATGTATCTTGCACTTGGTCAGAATGTAATTTTATTCTGCATCAAACATGACACGCCTCATTTGTGAAACCAACGCGGCCGTTCAACTCATCCATATCACGTCCGCACGACCATAGTTCCCCGTGGATACACTTCTATTGTTCAATTATCGACGTAGCGATTCTCTAAAGCTCTACACGCCACAACCTCTATTTTCCGCGCGCCCCAACCTCCATCTTTCACGCACACTCTAATGATGTGCCACGAAGTATGTCGTCGCAGGCGGAGCCAGCGAACGGCGCTTACACTGCACGCACACCGTCCATGCCCGTCTTCAGCGCGCCAACGACCGCCATCCCCGCGCGCCGGCGCGCCTCCACCTCCCCGCCCAGCGCAGCCTCCCACCACCGCGCGCCCCCGTCCTCACCCCCGTCCTCGCGCGCGCCCACCTCGCGCCATCCGCCCGCATAGAACGCGCGCAGCCCGCCCAGCTCCAGCTCGCTCCCGCGCAGCCGTTTTACCTCCGCCCAGAACGGCGGCGGGCGCGCGTGCGAGAAGCCCTCTCCAGCGGCGGCGTCGTCGCCCTCGCCACCCGCGCCGTCGCTCGAGCCGGAGCCCGCGGCCGCCGCGCGCGCGTCGCACATCCCGTCGCACGTCAGCACGAGCGCGGGCGGGACGGTGATGCGCCCGACCTTGAAGCACACCTCGGACACCGCGACGCAGTGCAGCGTCACGTCGTCGTCCGGGTCCGCGTGCATGCGCAGCGCCGCGGCGACTGCGACGGCGTGTGCGTCGGGCTTCGCGTCGGGCGTGGCGCGCACGGGGGTGGCGGCGTCCTCGGGCGTCCCGGATGTAAGCAGGAGGGGCGTGGCGGGCGTGTGCAGGAGGGGCACGGGGGCCTGCTGGGCGCGCGCGTCGTGCTCGGGGGGCGTCGGCGGCAGGCGGTGCTCCGCGGCGGGCTGCTTCGTCGCCCTCTTCTGCGTTTTGCTGGGCTTGGACTTGGTGACGTAGTGCGCGACGAGGAAGAGCTGCGCGGCGCGGTCAGGACGGCGCGGAGACGGTCAGCGGAGACGGTGCGCACCCATTTGTTGTCCCAGGACACGATGCGGACACGGATCTCGTAGCGCGCGAGAATCGGGATCTCGCGGAGAAACGTGTAGTGCGTGCCTGTGCGTGTGCAGGTCAGTGGTCAGCGTGCGCGCGGGGGGGAAGGAAGGGAGACTCACCGCCGAGCGGCATCCAGCCTCCGGCGCGGAAGAACGTAGGGAAACACTTCAGCACGTGCGCGAGGCGCGCCGAGTCCAAGCTCTGCAGGCGGGGTCAGCATGCCGTATACCGTATGGGCCCGAACGCGGACGCACCTTGGCGTAGCAGGAGTTGCTCAGGTGGAGGTTGTAGTCGCAGTCGTCGGGGCCTGGGGGCGGTCAAGTCAGCTCGAAGGTCGGGACGCGTGCGGGACCGCTGCAAACGGCAAATGGAGATATCGAGGCGGGCCGCGGCTGGGGCCACACATGGGCCACGGGTTCAGAGCAAAGATACATATGGCAAACGGACCCCAAGGACGTCGCGATGGTGTGGGGCATGGCCAGAAGAACGGAGGGAACACGGAAGACTCACTCGCCCAGCCCTTCCAAGCTACCGTGACATCGAATGGGCTCTTGCCCACCGGCGACAGCGCCGCGAGCCACTGCGCCTTGGCACGCTGCTTGACATGGCGCGGCTTGAAGAGGAGGCGCAGGCGCAGGAGGTGCAATCTGAGGCGCAGCGCGATGAGCGGGCTGAACACGCGAACTAGAAAGCGGGTGAGACGGAGAGCACGCGCGGATGCGGGGACGCTCACAGTGCCACGAAAGCGGCCAGGAGCGGAGGTTGACGAGGAAGACGAGGCAGGCGGTGTATTTGAGGAGGCGGACGCCGAGGGAGGCGAGCACGAGCAGACGTCGCGTGACGGCGTCCATGGCCACAGACGCAAGCGAAGACGATCACGGTCAAGAAGAGACAGCCAGCTCAAGAAGCAGCCTCAGCAAGAGAGCCGCGTCCGTCCCGCTCGGAGCGCCCGCACGCGGCGCCGTCTATCACATGCCTGGAGTGCGCACCCGACGTCTCCTCTCAATCAACTGCTTCGTGCGCAACCCACCATCGAGCTGAGGCATTGGCCGTCCAGTGGTGTCGATAGCGATGGCCAACGCAGATACTTTGCACAATCGACCGTTCGACGTAACTCAAGCGCCTACTACCTGGTATGGTAGTGACCCGCTTACATAGCGATCGCCTCGTCTCGCGCTTTCCCTCAGTCCACTACTACAAGAGCGCACGGCTCGCTATCTTCAGGCACGGCAGTTCATTTCACTACTTTGTAAGTTTTGTTCGAATATGGTTTACAGTTTCATATCCGCTGGAGGGCATCGCCCTATGACGGAGAGTACATGCGCCAACAAGCGGTCTTGTTCCTTATAGTAGAGGGACAGATAGCGTCCCGCACTGCGCAGGCAGGCGCATCCTTTTCATTCCGATATCTATAACCTCCTTCTTCTATCGCAGCGACATCACGACCGCTGTCTGCGCCACACACGCGCGACGCAGCTCACACCGAATGGATGGTCGTGCTGCAGACATTGTATGGCGAGCACGAGTGGTACACTACACGGCAGCAATACACGGCGCAGATGAGCGCCTGATCTAGATACAACGGAGACTTTATTTTGTTGTTTGGGTAGTGGTAGCATCGTGGAACAAGTTGATGAGGGAAGAGCTATGAGATATCGCTGTTTGCGATCACGGACTGTGCAGCGTCGTGGCGTGCGCAGGGATTTCGCTCTGGCCAGAAGATCGTAGAACATCTGTGTGGTGTAACTGCAAGGGGTACTGGCCGCCCAGTCCCTCTCTAGTCGTGCACGCAGGTCCATAGGGGTGTGTAGAGATTGCGCTACACACAGTAGTGCGAGCGTGGACAATATGGGACACGGACTACGGAGGGCGTGCTTGCCGCTGCGGGTCGAAGAGCGAATGGCGAACCAGGGGCGGGAGGCACGCGTATGTGGCGCATGGCACTGAGTGTGATGTGAAGACGGTGGATGGCGCTATGAAGGACGGGCGCAGTGCCAGTGTGTTGTTTAGGTAGTGGTAGCATCGTGGAGCAAGTCGCTGAGGGAAGAGCTATGAGATACCGCTGTTTGTGATCACGGAGTGTCCTGTGTGGGGCATCGTTCGCGGAGATAGTGACCGCGGTGGGGCGATGAGGCGCAGGCTTCAGAAGGGTGTTCTGGCCGGGTCGCTGCTGTAGAGAATGCGCCCGCGAGTCGGTCCTATGCGCTGTGGTACCCGTAGGGACCTCGCAGGACCGAGGTAGTCTTGCATTTCCGGTCCCATGCGCGTGGGCCGGATGGGCCTTCATGTGTCGCCATAGCTCACTACAACACTGGGTTGCCTGCCCGCAGACGGAAAATGTGGGCTTCCCATGCGCGATCGAGGCCTTGGGGTTCAATACTTCGGCCTTGACCTGCCGCGGTCACGCGCGCGTGTGCTGGAGGAAGGCCACATTATGGATATCTGCACTCCCCGCGGTTCGTGTGTCATATTCACGACACTGCAGGAACAAAGGTGAGGATGGATACGAGCAGCGCGATAACACCCCGTGCTTACATCCTGAGAAATGTAGCACCCCAAGCGCGCACCACAGGTCTTGTCACGTCGCGTACATAAGTTTCGATAAGCCCTTGTTGCAGGGCTGTCAACTGTACACCTTTTCCTCTTGGGGTGCCTGCTGGAGTGAAGACTATACCGCCTTCGATGGTTGTGTCCCAAGTCGTTGGCAGTATGTATACGGCACTTTTCTCGGGGATGCCATGCGCGTGGCATTTGGGCACCTTTGTGTGACGATTGGATCAGGAAGGGAGAGCGAGCGCGCGCCTCGAGGTCGCGGGGATCCCATGGCATCCGTGTGCAGAGTTACGACTTGGAGGGAAGAAGAGTGGGAAAGTGATGTCGAGGGGAGGCGGATGATGCTTGTCGTCCAACGCAGCCGCCTTTTATATCTCAGCAAGCAAGCGCTAGTCACGACGGTCCACCGCAGAAGCGTCGCTTTGTCTCCACATGTCCACAAAGAGAACAAAAGGCGATCGGGCCAAAGCGAGCGATCTGATCAGGCGGCGCACAGTGGAAGACCCATCAGTGGCTAGTGGCTAGAAGAGGTTGAAATACATGTCATGATGTTCTTTGTCATCGATTCGCTGGACCGTCGACAGCTGACAGACGGCTTTCCGCTCAACATAGGGTTCTATGATCGTCGCACATGGTGACTAAGCGCGAGCGCGCCACATTCGAGCCTATAGCACCTACCTAATATGGTAATGGCTCACTACGTACATAGCGATGAGAGCGTGCGAGAAGAGACCGAGTGGATTTGAGGAGATGGGACAAGGAAAGGGGAATAGAGAGCGGTGGGGAGTGGCGGGGAGTAAGGGCGCTTGGAGGCACACAAGAGAGAGCAAGTTGCAACAAAATATATTCAAAGGCCTTGCTGCCACCCATACACTCTCGTCCAGTACCATCTACGTCGCCCCGCCCATCGCTCTCTCCTCGCGCGCCGCCATCCTGCCACCAGCCTCCATCCTGTGCGCGCGGATCCCTGGTGCAGATAACGTCTGTACCGCACGGTCAGCACGCTTCGCGCCAACTCGCTGGCACATCGCAGGAGCACGCGCTGTCCCGGTCAGCGTCGTCGCGCGTCGGGGACAAGACACTGGGCTGCAACATCCAAGTCCGCCCGGCCAGCAACGGCGAACACCACCACAACGGATGCTGACCGGGCATACAACGCCGCACGTTGCTGCTACTGTGCGTATTCGCCCTTGCGCCTGCGAGAAGAAAAAGCGGTCGCCATCCCGTGCACGAGGACTCACCACTACGTTCGGAGACCTGGACACTGCACCTGGTCAGTTCACCGCTTCGAACCGTCTCCGCGTGACGCTCTTGCGAGTGTTGCGCTCCCAACGGCACGATACATGTTGTGCCCGCTTGGTCTTGCGTCCCGCTCACGCCCAACACACCCAGCGAGCCATTTCGGTCAGCGCGCGCTGCTTACTGCACTTCTGGAGGTTGCGTGGCGCCTGTTTTTTTGCCGCCGCCTACGCCTGCAAGACCGCCGCTCAATGGTTAGTGCAACTGCAAAAAGGTATGCCCAAACTTACTATGACACCTTTGGCACAGCCCGCATCTGGCACAGCCCAAAGTGTAGCCACGCTGCCCGACAGTCCCGCATCCGCGTGCCGCGCTGATGTCCATCGCTGCCAGTTGCTTCAACAGCCCGTGTCCCCCACGTCTATTGACCGTGTTCCCGGCTAATTTCCCGCGAGCATTCGCAGTCCTATTATCTTACCAGCCAGCCAAGGTAAGGCGATCCGAATATCCTAGGCGCATGCCTCGTAGTCACCTAAATAAGACTATTAGTATCCATTCAGCCGCACTATCCAGCTTTCCAACTCATCTCACCAAACACGATACGGTCGCCACGCTGTGCTGCACTGTGTCTTGCTTTGCGCGCAACACAAGCCCTAGACGCGGCCATCAATGCACGACCAGATGTCAATCATCGTCAGCACTCCGGACAGTAAATCAGACATACAGTGAACTGACCACGTAGCTAGGACCGCAGCGGGATGAGCGGCATTCCGCGCTTGAGCACCCTGTTGTTGCGATTGCATCTCGGCCGTGCATGTGCATAGGAGGCGAGGCGAGGTGGTCACATCAACCCCTGTTTTCATGCCAGACATTTTTCTGTACCACAAAACTCACGCTCTCTACGAAGAGATCAATCGCGACACTGTGAGCAAATAACAAGGCTGTCTACGGATCCACGGCACCAGCACGCTCCTCATACAGTGTCATTACGGACATCGAATATGGCCGGCTCATCTTGACGGCACCGCACACATGAGCGCGCGAGCGTCGAGCATCGAGGCGTGCCGGTGGTGGGAGGACAAGACAACACAGTTGCCCTGCCGCAGCCATTGTGCGAGATATCAGTGTGCGGCCATCTGAGAGCGCGCAAATGCCTCTCTTGCAATGCATCGCGTGCAGCGTGTAAGCGGTAGCAGATCAGCTGCGGATGCCCCTCGCACGTCGCACTCGTTCGTACCGGACAGCGATGCAAACACCGGTGGTGCAGCGGATCGCGTGCGGACACTCCTCGCACATCACACTCGTTTGCACTGAACGGCGTGGCCGGCCATCCATCTCGCGTTGGAATTCATCACGTCGTCATGGCGTGTGACCGCATCTCGCGAGCATGCGAGGGATTATCCTCCGCCCGCCTGCCCTTTGAACACGCTGCGTTCTGCGCGTTGCGGCGCTCTGGGCCAGCTCTGGGACCGCCGCACGACATGTCTGCGGCTGGCTGACAACACGGGCCCACTCTGCGACCTAGCAGGAGTGACAGCCACGGACGGCCTCGAGTTAAGACTTCCATCGTAGTGTTAATTTCTCGGACGGAGCGACAGACAGTGTGGACGCGGGGAACGGGCGTACGCCGTGGAGCCCTGCACTGTTGGCGGCGTCAATGCTGCCGTGTAAAATACGTACACGCAATCCGGTGCCGCGCGCCGTCTATGTAATGCCTGTTCACGTCTATCTGATCCCCGGATGAGTGTGCGCATCCGCCATAACATCCTCCTTGCGGCTGCGCCCGCGCGGGCTGCTTTTGCACTGAGACGGCCATTCAGCACGCATCCCTTGCCGTTCGTTCTCTCGTCTTCTCCCACACGAGTCCCGTCTCGGCTCTGGCCGCCCACGTCCGCCTCGCGTTTCCGTTCCTGTTCCTGTCTGGTCCCTCCCGCATCAATTCATTCCGCTTCCTAGCTGTAGGAGCCGGCCGCCCGTCGTTCGCAGGCTAGCCGCACCGGCACACGCTCAGACGGAAACACCGTACGACAATGGAAGTCAGCGTGCGCGACGCGTTGGGAGGGTATGCGCACGCCCGTCGACAAGGTGACAGGACGCGCATACGCGCAAATAGAATATGCGTACAGCAGCGGGCTCGCACGCTTGGCCAACGCCAGGCTAAGAAGAGCGCCGCACGAGTGCAGCACCCTTGTCCGGCAAGGATGCGGACGCACAGCGGCTTCGCGCGACTGAACGTCGTGTGTGTGCACACACGCTCAGCTGGATGCCGCGCAGCAGAGCCTTCGACTCTGTCCACAACACCGGAAAGCGGGAGACCGCACGCAACAGGCGGCTGCAAAAATGATAACGGGCGGGAGCCGTCTACCAGGGCACTTCTGCCCGCTGCCCGCGTGCCATGGACACGGCGCCTCGTACGTACATGTGCGCAGCGCGCCGCGAGGCCCGCGATGCGGCGAATCTCTCGGTGCGTCTTGCGGCATGTCCCTTGCACTCGGATGACCGGGGAGGACGCGGGTCGCGCACGCAGGGCGGGCAGGGCGGCTATGTCCATGGGTCGATGTGCCCGCGCTGTCTGTCGCACCGACGTCCGGCGAGCAGCGCGTCTGGTGTCCTGGACGCGACCCAGCACGAAGGGTGAGCAGACGCGCGGCCATCCTCCCACCGCATATCTCCTGCCGCGTATCTGACACTGGGTCGCGAGGGAGACGCGGGAGACGCGAGATCGCGACGAACCGTCGCGCCCGCATCCGGGGGGTGTCCGTGCAAACGAGGCAAGGGGTGCACAAGCACCGGGTGCGGGAGGCAGGGATAATGTGCCTGGGGCGGGTACGGCGGCGCAGGGACGTCAGGAGGAGTGAGCAGCGCAGAGGGGGATGAGGAAATGGAGTGGAGAATGCGCAGGAAATACGCACGGAGGAGCGGCCGGGCGGCGCAAGGCGGGCGAGGACGCATCAGACGCGGCTGACACGGAATCCCCATTGTGCGTTGCTAGGCCGCCTTTCCGCAAGCAATGAGCGCCGATGGAGATGGTCCGGGCGTGGGATGCAGAGAGGTGTCGTCGTCGGAATATAAGAAAGGAAAGGAGCGCGAAGGATAGCGGCGTGGTCGCGTGCTGGCTATCTTCCTCGTCGCCTTTGACTAGCTGGTTTCTGGGCCTTGAGGACGCCGTCCAGAAGCTCTGTCGAGAGGGGCAGGC